CCTGCTCCAGCAGGGACACCCAGAGCACGGGGCACAGGGTGGCAGCCAGGCGGGTTTGGAAGATCTCCAGAGAAGGAGACTCCACAGCCTCCCTGGGCAGCCTGTKCCAGGGCTCTGTCACCCTCACAGGAAAGTTCTTCCTCACACRGAGATGGAACTGCCTGGGTTTCAACTTGTACCCATTACCCCTTGTCCTGTCACTGGCCACCACTGAGAAGAGCTTGGCCCCTTCCTCCCTACATTCCCCCTTCATGTACTTAGGGTACCTCTTGTACTTTTGCAGGGATTCTGTGGGATATGGAATAAGCTGTTACATATACTTTATATGTCACATTACATACACTTTTCCTGGATGATTCCTATTGAATGTGCCTGCCTGGTTTTTCCCTCAGCGCATCAGTACTGTTCTCTAGATCTGCCCCTGGCCCTTCCCTGCCTAAAACAGGTAGTGGAGCTGTCGATGGCCAGTCTGGCCACAGCCTGTTTCAGGCCTACCTGCTCAGGGGAACGTGTTCATCAACCCACTGGCTCTTCAGGTCTGCAGCTTTTAGGTAGAGCCTCTGATCCTGCCTTCTCACTTACTGAAAAGCAGGTTCTAGTACAGAAGGAGCTGCTGCTTATTAGCAGTATGAGGAAGGTGTATTTTGTCTCCCCTCCCCAGGAAGTGCAGCAGTCTTCTCAATTTTTCGTTCACCCATAAAGTAAATTTYAGGTAGATTCCTCATGAAAGAATTTGGTCACAAAAAAAAATGTTTACAAGCATAGAAGACTTTCATAATTTTAAAAACAACTGCTAATGCACTGTACCCTGTTCCTTTTCACAGGACATGGATTCCTTTTGTTCTGATGCCGAAAGAAAACTGATGGATTTGCTCCAAAGAAACGGTCCACTTACACCTAATTTACCTAAAAGATATGGCTTGGAATGTCCTTCCCCGTGCAACACAGGCCTCTCTGCAGGGCCCGTCAGTTCGGTAAGCTGCTTGTAGCTGATCCTGGCTTTATATATGGACATTACTTACAGTAATAATGTAAGCACAGTTCATACAAATGGCTTGTGCTGGTTGCTTTTCTCTTCAATCTTTCCACAAAATTTTGAGACTTATTACATCTTTGCCACCTCTTCGTCTGCTAATCCTTATGCTTTTTTGGTAAATTATGTTTGTAAAGAGTATTCAGGTSTTCTAGCTCTAGTTCCTTTATAGATTACTTAGTAAATTCATTTGCAGTAAATGTGTTACCTTTGCAGCAGGCTCGACATAAGCTGTTGGAGTGAATAGTCCCCTGTGGCCTGCAGGCTGCTGGGCGGGTTGGTCTGGAAGCCAGGCCTGAGCGCGGCCCCAGGCGAGGGATTTTCTGCCMCCAAGTGCTGGGGAGCAGCCTGATCAAGCACCAGTTCCTAGGGACCAGATTCCAAGTCTACAGGGCATCATTTCCTGTTTCCAGGGACATTTCTCCTATTTAATTCTAAAGGTTTAGTGATGTGTATATATAATTTTATTAAATGTTAATCAATTTTAAATAAATGAGACCTAAAGATACAGCGAAGTTAAGCATGTGTTTGAAAGGCTTGCAGTGTAGTGACTGTCTTGTGCAATGGTTGCCTTTCATTTTTTCAGTCTATTTGCAGTCCTCCTTTTTCACCCCTTTTTTTCCATTTTTCTTTTAACAACTTTTTGACTAGTGCAGTAGAAATCACCATTAATCCTGTTCTGTCATGATTATTTTAAATTCTTACAATCAGGCACAGAAATAAAACAATTTAGATTTCAGAAAATGAAACTTGTCATAATGTACTTAAAAATGATCCACTAAGCAGCAATTCTTGAAAAAAAATCTTCATCCCTATCAGAAGACAACAAGATAACGTCAACTTGGGCATGAAGGATGGCTTAGTAGTTTTGTGTCATTTTTTTTTTTCCTGCCATGTGGAGGTATTTAAGGATAAAGGAAATATTTGACATAAAACTTTTATTTTTCTTTTAAACAGGTATCTTCTCCTAACATTGCAGTAAAGTACCAGAGCCCTTCGGTAAACGGCGTGCAGAACTGGAAGCCTGTGCCACAAGGCTCGGCTGCGGCTGCGGCTCATGAGGAGCATCCCAAGAGCGGCCGCAAGAGGAAGGCCCTGGAGCTGCTCAGCCGCCTTCCCGCCCCGCCTCCCCTGCCGCCCCTCTGCCCCGGCCTTTCCCCCTCTCTCCGGAGGGCCTTTCAGCCCCCGCGGCGCTTGGGCTTTCCGCACGGCGCGGCCCCAACGGCGCCAAGCGGGAACATGGGCGCCGGCAGCCGGGAGCRGGGGGAGGCTCTGCAGCTTGCCGAGAATGACCTGGTTGCCGATGAAGAACTTGCCATGATTAACACGCAAGCCCTCCTCAACACCTCCCCGGGGGAAAAGAAGACCGAGTGCATAAATGAAAACAGCAGCACGGCAGCTATGGATGTACTGCATGTTCCTTCAGGAAAAAGTAGTTCCAGATCTGCTGGGGAAGCAAAGAACTCATCCAAAAACTGTCCTGAAGGAGCGGGGGCTTTTCGGAAGGACACACAGGAGGCAGAGGGCTCATTAACAGACCACAGAAAGCTATAGAGACAAAAAAAAAAGAAGACTGCTACTAAAGGTGTATAGTGTTGTGTATATATTTCAAATTCARATTATTTTTACACTTTGTACATTAAATTCCAATGTATTTAATAAAAATATATTACAAAAACAAAGATTAAGTGGCATCTCCTCTATAAAATATAATAAATTGGACTTGAATACCTATGCATTTCCCGCACAGCTATGGCTGGTAGGGCAGGCATCGGCGTGGCTGGAGGGTGCGTGACCATCTATAACCTCCTGCCTTTAAAGCATTGCTTCCTGGTGTGCAAATAACCACTGTGGTTTAAAGATGCACACAAAGGGAAACTGGTGCAAGACCAAATCGTTTCTTCTGTCCATCCCTGTGTGAGGGTGGCGGTTCCCTGCAGGGGCTGGCGGCGGCTAAAGCGAGGAGAGAGATGGAAGGCAGCGAGAGCCCCAGGAGGCACCGCTGCACAGGGGCCCAAGGAAAGAGAGAAGTCGGGAATACCGCGTGTTCTCTGTCAGTGACAGAGCAGGGAGCAGAGCTGGCACCTTTCACCACAGCCAAGGCTTGAGTTTCGTGGCAGAAGCAGGACTGGGCTGGGGAGGAGGCTGCAGTTTGTGCTGGCTCACCTCAGTCCCACAACCTGTGCCGTTGCTGGCCACTGCCACTTGCAGGTGAGTAAGATAAAAAAGCCCAAGTTAGAAATACAGTAAAAAAATACAAGAATAAGAAATAATTTTTAGAAACGTAAAGACAGAGGCCTTTGTCCGCCGACGCTCAGGACGGGTGGTGGGCGGCGCCGCGCGGCGCGCGAGGCCTCGCGGCGGGGGCGGCCGGGGCGCCATGGCGGAGCCTCCAGGCGCCGCGCGGGGCGGCACTCGGCTCCGCGGCCCGCAGGACGCTGTGGAAGGTGACGCCGTGCTCGTACTCGTCCTTCATGCGCTGTATCGTGTGGCGAGGCACCCCGTGGCTGTTTCTTCTGCAGAGGCACGTGAACAGAAAGCGCAGGCGTTCAGTCAGCCCCACCTTGCAGGTTGTCTTCAGCTTGCTAAGGCTCCTGCTCTGCTCGGGACAGCGGTTCTTCTCCCYTGTGTCCCGACTGAAACCCTTGCCCCCTTGCCTAGGTTTCAAAATTGGTTTTGGTGACTTTGCTGGATGAAGATTTGTGCAAACCCAGTAGCCTTGTTTACCCACCAACAGGCACCACGCGCGTGGGCCGAAGGCCTCGTGCACCAGAAAGCACCTTGGCTTGTCCCTGCATGAAGTGCCAAGGGGCTGCCCTGCACTGCATGTATTTGAGCCAGCTTTGCAGTGCTTGTAGGCTACCACTGACTTGTTTAAGAGCAGAAGTCAGGATATTGTCTGTGGTGCCTCGACATGTCTTGCACCCAAATACTTCCAGTATTTGTGCTGCTGAAAACACACACCAGAAGTCAGGGGTTAGGGTCCCTGCCGCTCGGGGTCTGCAGTTTGAGTATCTCAGCCTCTGCTGACTGATCAAGATGCGTCCTTCAAATCAGCTGGATGCTTTTGGGCTGAGCTCACTACACACGAGGTCCTTAGTCACAGGGCTTTGCCACGGTTCTCCAAGGCCTCTTAGCCTCGTCTAGTGGGTTATACTTTTGCACATACGAAGAGGACGAGCGCCAGCCTTCCCCCAGGGCACATGACTAAAATGAGAAACTCGTGCTGGATCGGAGAGAGGGAGATGTACCTTGTCAGCTCCGGAACATTGAACTTCCAGGGTGTATCTGGTTCTCGGAATGTGACTTCGTAGTTATGTTCCCGGGCCTGGGGAAGCACACAGAAGGTTTAGCCGGAGCCTGATGGCTGCCGAGCCCGCGCTAGCCGCTTTTCCTCGCTCCGTGAGCACCACCCTGAGGTTTCAGCTGCCTGGGAAGGGCCGTCACATCCCGCCAGGAGCCACGAGCAAGGAGGTAACGGTGACTCCCACCAGGGTGTGAGTCCCAGCTAGTTCACATTCTCTGACACCAGGGATCTGAGTGCCCAGCGGACCTCAGCATAGCTCCTGGCCGTGCAATGMGCTTACTTGACTGCTTCTAGCTTGGCTTTTTGGGGGAGTAGAAGGGTGGCCGGGAAAGTTTCATGGCAGGAAACAGGCGGCAGGGAGCTCTGCTGGCCCTTTGGCTTTTTATCCACCCCTGGCTGAGATCTCTCACTTCCCACATAGTCACACCCAAACATTCACAATTTCTACTATTTCAGTAACACTCCTAGGGTGTGCAGAACTACTGCTAACACTGGCCTCTTTTGGGCTCCATAAAACCATTATTTAGACTCAAATTTCTGAACTGGCAAGACCATAACCCAAGAACTTACAGCTGTGCACAATGCAAGTTGGGCACTGCCCTTATGAAACTACTAAAATGCTGCCAGTAAGCGCCACCCCGGCCAGAGCACAGGATACAAATGCATCCTCAAAGACTTTATTGTGCATTTTTCGCAAGTCCTGAATTAAAATAGAAATCATAGCTTAACGTATTTGTCAACTATTAATTTTGAAACTGTTCCATTCATGCTGCTTTTGAGGAAGGCAGTCACCACCCGGCTGCCAAGAAGTTACAGGGCAAGACCAATGACTTACAGGGCAAGACCAATGACCACTGACTTTTGGAGAGATTTTGCTTTCACTCTGTTATACAATGAATTAGATAAAAAATAAAGGACTTAATTCCTCAAAGTATCAATTATCATTAACTATAATTACATGAACTAAAAGAAAGTGGAAGTAATTACTTCTACCCATGGCAAGAACCCTCTCTGTCCGATTGCCTCTTAAATGCTATAGCTGAGCACGTAAAAGCAATAAATCAGAGCTTTCCCTACCATCATCACATACGGCTTCATTTCCCAAGCATGGATGTTGGTATTATCAATAATAACCGGGCTTTTCCCATTCTTCATTGCTTTCTCTGCTGTAATGCAACACAGTAAGTAAAGCTAAAACATATTTAGTAACAGCCTGCTCCAAGTTTTGCCAGCCCCTGGTGTCCTTCCTTCRTCCCACTCCTAGAGGACTTGGCTCTTGACCCTGCCATGGGTCTTCACCCACTCTTCCCAGGTGTCACTCTCCTGTAGGCTACTACTTGGAGGTTTTCTATTTGGGAGACTAAGTTTATGGATGGACTGAGGTTTATGGATAGACTGAGGGTGAAACGAGGCCGAGGAGACCTGGCTCCCGGCGCGGCAGTCACCTCTCGCCTGGTTCCACCTGTGCGCGTCCTCYAGCCAGTCGGGCTCAAAGACGTACACGCCGCTCCTGATGAAGAAGTCATCGGTGCTGAGAACGACAGCGCTGGGGGAGTCACGTTTCAGTTGTCTGGAAATAAAAAAGATGGAAGGAGCACTGTGGGGAGCCAGCTGGGCACCTTCTGGACACACAGGACTGGTGTGAGGAGGTGGATATGCTCCTTTCGTGGTGCTATAAACTTGAAGCATTCCTCTGTTGGGCCTTAGAGAGACAAAAAAAACCCWTCATCCAAGAAGGGGTTCCCAGGTGACCAGGCTGATCTTATTCACATCCACAGCTGGAGCTGACTCTCTCTTCAGCCCTGAGAGCGCTGCAAAGAGGACAAGGAGGAGAAGGACAAGCAGGAGAAGAAAGACAAGGAGGAGGAGGAGGAGAAAATTAAAGACAAGGAAGAGGAGGACGACAACAAGGACAGAGGCATGGAAGAAGGAAGCAAGGCCCCAAGAAGCCGGGCTGATCCTGCTGCCTCTCCCAGTTCTTCACACCCCTCCTCAGACCCAAACTGCCTGGAAAAGAAGTTCAGGTCAATGGAAAACCTGGCGCCTGCAGGTGCCCACTCCCTCACACTATCCCGTGCTCCTAGACCCCATGACTCATTTTTACCGCCTTCATAAAACACTTCTCTTCCAGCCCGTAAGCTTAAAAAAAATTTTTTAAAAAAATGAAACAAACAAACAAAAAAACAAGTATTTCTCAATGTCTGGCAGGATTGGGCAAGGGGAAAAGCCCCCTGAGGTTTCTGCAGACAAGTCAGTCCACAGGGAGACAGTTCCGTTGTGTCACCCCAAGTTCTGCTCTTGTCATTTCCCTACTGGGTTCATCCCAATCCTTTGGTTYACAGCAATTCCTCACAAATCCTCCATGTAGCTTTCAGCTGAGGAAAGCTCCCTCCTTTTGCCTTGGTAACTTCCACCATAACTTATTAATTAATGATGATTATTTGGGGGCAGTAACTGCCACGAGGGCAGAGGCCAGGGCTGAGCGAAATGTCCCATCCTAGTGATGYCCCTTTGACTTGTTGAACAGACGGTTCAAAGACATTTATTATGTTGTCCAGTGGTCCTTTCCTTTAAACTTTTTGCAATCCGGGTAATTTCTTTATTTTCTTAGCATATATCTTCTTCCTTATTTTGTTACAAATATCTGCACCTTTACATGAGGATTTTGATACTAACCCCTGAGGCAATCTATGCACGAATGCTACTTATGTGGTTATCTGTAATCTCAGTCTAGCACCTTCACACAGACACCTTCGATAACGAAAGAAGATAAAACATGTGATTCAGAGGATTTAAAAATACGGCACAAAATGTGTTCAAATCTATGACTCACTGTCACATTTGCCTTTTTTCCTGCTCTGCAAGCAAATGCCTAATAGCAACATGAAAAGAACATTGAATGGCGAAAAATGAGAAGTGTTACCTTCTGCTTATCTTGCTGTGTTTACTTGTGGCTTTCTAAAGTCATCAAATTGACAATAAAGGTTACTGGTGCTTTTGGTATTCCTCATCTGTATGTGAAAACAGCAAAAAATTCTGTGGTTTTGGGGGGTTATTTTTTGACCTCTTTTTAGAATTTCATCAGGCACCCAAATCTCTGCAACTCCAGAGAGCTGTGAGCCACACACAGCAAGATGCTTTGCTTGGAATAAAGGTTCTCCTGCATCACATTAGCATCCAAATCAAAACAAAAGGCAAAATAAGAATGCCTCTACTTGGCAAAATGTGAAAAAGGGAGGACCTGTGACCTAYGTAGCTTATTTATACATTTTGAGCAGTGCTATAAACCAAAAATGCAGTCAGATCATTAACTGTCAAACTATACTAAGAACTATACTAAGAAGAAGTCTCATTGCAAGATCAAAGGGTACTTATCAGATATATTAACATTGCCAAAGGACAAAAAAAAAAATAAGTGCTGCATTGTGACAAACAGTATCAGGGTAATTTATCTGTGGGACAGGACATTTAATTGCACAGTCTTTTGTCACCCGGTAGCCATAAAACTATAAAACAAGGGGCATAATACACATCTTGCCCAACACAAGTTTGCTGCTGGATTTCAGACAAAAAGACGGGCTGAGGGAAACGGAGACGTTTCTTCTCTTGCAATAGATCCCCCAGAGCCCTCCAGGCCCTTTTCTCTTCCCTTTCTCCAAGGGGCAGCACATTTGTGTGCCAGGTACCGCCACCATTAACCKGAGGACCTGTTCCCACGAGCTGCCCAGTTTCTAACTCCCTCTTTTTATTAATATTCTCTTCAGTGCTTTCAACTGTTTGTTCTGAATTACAACTATAGATATTTCTGCCCTCATAGGTAATGAATTAATAATCCAAGATTTCACCTAGCTCCTATAGCAGTGTCCACGTGTGAAGTCTCCAAGATCACTACAAATGCTGCTGGTGTGATGAACACAGTATTCAGGTTAATTCCTTGCAGCTGAGGGCATTGTGCATTTATATCTTAAATACAGACAGGCATTAAATGTGCCGAGGTGCAGGGCGCTACCCGCGCATCCCACGGAGCCCACCAGGGACCTTCCTCCAAAGCACCCTCTGCTGCTCCGGGCTCCTGCTGGCAGCAACGCCAAGGAGCCTGTGAGGATCATCTGAGGAGACTGGGAAGATTGTCCTTATCTGTGAACCGCCGGAGAGGTGTGGGCCTTGGCGCTGAGGAGACAAATCCTCCTGCCCTACTGCACTGCAGCTGTGAAGCCATCCAAAACGAGAGCACAAAGGAAAAAAACCCACACGTGGGGGCAAAACCCTTGCCAAAGATTCCTGGAGAATAAAATAGGCAAAATCCCGAGGCAAAAAAAAAAAAAAGAAAAAGAAAAAGAAAAAAAAAAGAAAAAAGTGGCACCATAATTACTACTGCCTACTAGGGCGTATAAAAGGCTGTTGAGAACCCAGCTTGTCATCACCAGCCAAGAGGAACCCAGGAGATACAGTGGGGATGATGCAACCCCTGAAGCTCCTTGTCCTCTCCGACAGYGGCCACAGCCCCTGGGCAAACACGTCAGTGAAGCGTGTGAGTGAAGCAAAGCTCCGAGAGAAGGGATTTGAGCGGGTGAAGCGAGCTCAGATTTTGAAAACAGATGATCACCTTGCGCCCTCCATAAATCCCACCCGGAATTTTGCTGTACTTGTTTCCTACAAACACTTGCATTGGCACCAGCAAGAAGTTATGAGCAGGGATGGCAGGGCCATCCTTGCTAGTGAAGATGGGGCTGGCCCTGCTGCACGGGCACCACACACGGTTCCCACACTGCTCTTTGGGTCACGCGCTGCCGAATGCAGGGACACCAMGAACTCAGCACCACTGTCTCTGCCAGGAGCTGGAAGCAGGAGGASATACTTGAATGTTCACCTCTCGTGGCACTAAAACACAGCTTACTAAGCATTTTGTAACTCTGTCAATGATTAATCTTGCAATTTAGGCAAAAGACAAGGTGGTGAGCCAGTTCCTTGTACCTGTGGAGGACGTGTCCCCAGGTCATGAAGTTTCTAACGCACCAGAAGACCCGAGCTCCTCTGCAAGAGGCGAGGCCTGTAGCTACAGCACCTCTTCAGGGAAACAGGTATTTCAGGTTTCACCAAGAGCACGGTATCCATACCTGCATTACTTGGTCTTACAGAACCCAAGGGAGATAAGGCAGAGGTCTTCAAAAAAGACCGAAAACAGGAACAGTGGAGATGATGGGTCCATTGCAGTGCTTTATACTGCCACCTTTTGCAGCAGAGCCCTACCTGCAAAAACACCAGCACCTGCCAAGTCCTTGAGGAACCTGTGTCTGATACTGGCACCCGAGGGAAATGGGGGTTGATCTTTTCACGTTTTGTGGAAAGTGGGTGGCATTGGAAGGGGATGAGATACCAGATTTAGAAGTCGTGGCTGCTCTGTGTCACTATGATTGYGCCACCACCTCCCGGCACTCCCCTCGGAGCTGTCTCTATCTAYGTTCTGTTTCATTTTTGCTGTTTTATCACTTTTACAGCCCTCTCTGGGAGTGGCAGASTCTATCTGCCCTCCGACCGCTCTAGGGAGGGGCTGGGCACCAGGAAAACACCCATGGAGCTTCCTCACCAGGCCCTCACGGCAGATGCGCTGCCGAAGAGCCSGGGGCACAAACACGGACTCGGTGTTTTGCACCACAGGACATGCAAAAACGAAAGGAAATAGCAGATGTTGGGCCCTGGGTCGCACCAGGAAGAGCTGCCGGCGCCGCCCGGCGCGCGGTCCTAAGACGAGCACAGGCTTAAAGAGCACCCTGGGCTCAAGGACGGAGCCGGGACAGTTTGGGATGACAGCGTCTCGGCGAGCGCGCTCGTGCCGGGTCCGGCCAGGGCTTCCTCGGCCGCACAGCGACGGCCTCGCGGCTCCGGCCTCGCGGTCCCGCCTTATAAAGCAGCAGCGGGGAAGGCCCAGGCCGCTCGGCCGGGCTCGGCCCTGCGCGTCCCGTCCCGTCCCCTCCCGTGCCGTCCCGCGCGTCCCATCCCGTGCCGTGCTGTGCCGTCCCGCGCGTCCCGTCCCGTCCCCTGCCGTCCCGTCCCCTGCCGTCCCGTCCCGTGCCGTCCCGTCCCATCCCGTGCCGTCCCGCGCGTCCCATCCCGTGCCGTCCCGCGCGTGCTGTCCCATGCCGTGCCGTGCCGTCCCGTGCCGTGCCGCGCCGTTCGGCGCCGTGCCGTACCTGGCCAGGGTGCTCTTGCCGGAGCCGGGCAGGCCGCGCAGCAGCACGAGCTTGCGGCGGCGCGCGGGCCGCGGAGGCTCGAGGCTGAGGCCGCCGAGCGCGCGGAGCAGCCGCTCGTCCATGCGGGGCCTCCCGCGCTCCGCTCCGCGCGGGGGCGGCCCCGGCGGCGCCGCCCGCCCCGCACCCGGCCCCGCTCCCGGCCCCGCACCCGGCCCCGCTCCCGCACCGGCAGCGGCAGCTCTTCCCACACGAGCCTCTTCCCCCCTTTCCTTCCTACCTTCCTCGTACCGTGTTTGGAAAGTGATGCCCCAATGAAACCACTGGCCAGAAGGAGCCCAGTTTTAGCTCCATCTTCTTTGCCTGCAGGAGCCCAGGCTCCCTTCCGAAAGAGAAATGATCAAAGGAAGAGAAAATGCATTGTCTAAAACTGCACGTCCAGGGAGCAGGATGTTGCAAGAAAGAAGATCTTTACGTCTAAACACTGCACAGACGTGTGCGCAGTCACTGCATCAGCTCTCTCRGCAGCAGATCAGCCCAGCACATCATTTCTCATCATCTAAATTAACCTCCAAGTTCTCCCAGCTCTGCCAAGGCAAGCGCTGAAGGGCTGCCCTTCCACCAGTTCAGGTTAGGGCATGTGGGCTATAACCACAGGTTACCGAAGGGAGAGCAGCGCGGGTCTCTTCAGAGGAGGTATTGACAGCAACACACGCGCTGGTACTCGTGGGGAGGCCAGGGAGGGCAGGAGGAACCCCAACGCCGTGGGGAGCCCCTGCATGAAGCTCATGGCACCAGGATCCCTTCCCCCAAATGCCTGAACAGCCAAGCAACAAGTTCAGTTAGACGAATTTTCCACGTGGAAAAGCTGACTTGCCCCCAGGGAAGCCAAAGAAAGAAACCAGAGGGTTCCAAGAAAGTGGCCGTGTGGTATCCCCCTCCCTCGGAAAGGCACGTGAAATATCAGCCACAGAGCGGTTACTGCCTCGTCCCATACACTGCAGGGACACGGTCAGTTAACTGCAGTACTGAAGGCAAGAAATAGAGCCGCCCTTGCTTTTTCCACGCAAGAATACTTGAGATTTTGGCATTTATTTTTATTTTAGGCATTCTGGAATTTGGGTATTCAGTAACAGAAAACATGTGCATTCAGAAATCTTTCCAAATGAGTAACGGCAGAAAGAAAATAATAGGGGTTGAAAGACATTTTCTTGAAATTAAACCAACTTTTCTATTGCACATAGTACTTCAGGTAAGTGTGAAACTGAGGGTGTGACCAGCAAGAATTACATGTGTCCCCATAATATTTTCTTTAATGTTGGAAGTGGAAAAGTAGCACATTTTAATTTAAGGAGAAGAAAAAAAAGACATACACATGAAAAAATGAAAGTGCAGCCACAGAACTGTAACATTCATTTAGAAATGCACATATCTGSTAAAGTGCTTCTATGTAAACATAATATTTAGTATCAGCAATATTATGTAAACATAATATTTAATGGGCCCTTTGGCCCACAGCGCAGGAAGGMGTTAGCAAGGCTCCAGCCAGGTGCTGGTTCCTCAGCTGCTGCATGATGAAAGGTGCAGGGAAAGGATAAAAAGGAACAAGTTGGAAAACAGCACAGGATAAACATTCTGGATCCGAAACCTGCAGAAATGGGAAGTATTATTTTTGAGAAGTACATGAAAATTAAGCTTCTTTGCTTCTCTTTTCCTCATTGATCTTTTCCCATACTCTTTACCAGACACCAGGGTGTCTTGTCATCGCTGCTCAYAATGGAGAAGCTTCCAGCCTTACATGACAGTTTCCATCATAATAAATAAGGATTTCTTTTTCCGACTACATGACCTTAACTTTTTTCTTTCCTGTATCTCTTACCCATTACATTTCCCTCTTAGAGAAYGGAGTGGAATAGATGACAGATCAAAAGATCATCAATTCCCTGTCTCACCTGTAGGACTTGCTTTCTCAGCAACTTTTTCCTCTTTAAAATAGCWATGGCTGGCCGCCCCCTCCATCTTCCCGAAGCTGCTGGCCCCTCTSCTTTGGGGATCTTCACACCTGTGGGAATTCCTGTGGGAATCAGAGCCCACAGGAGAGCAACTTCRTGCTTCCCACAGAAATGGCAGTTGGCAGAGAGGCCGTGTCCTGCCTCCCACCTCCGCAGAGCAAGGAACATCGGAACAGCTAACACCACCCTCGAAASAAAATGTGAAATTCACTCTGAAAAACACGGGATCAACTTCACCACCATGTAATTTACCCCACTATATATCATGTAATATTTCCTATTTTTCTTTGACACCTGTGGAGACATTTGCAAAAGCAAGATTTTGGTTTTTAATCTCACTATTCATCAATTTTCCTTTCTTCCTGATGAAATCAATATTCTGGGATAATTTCTTGAATGATGGAGTTGCTGCCAGTAAGACTGTTATTCTAACTGAGGAATTAAACCACATTTAATCTTCAAAGGAAAAACAYTGAAGAAGCAACTGCTTTTAGATTACTTTAAAATTTTCCTCACAGGATATGGATCTCAAGTGAAAAAAAAAGTGGCAAAAGGAATATCACTAGCAGAAACATCAAACTGTTGAATATGGGAATTATAGATCCTGAAGCCCTAAGCATCTTTCCTCCAGCTTGCCTGGGTCAGCTCCACAGTGACAATTTCTCTGCATTTCTATAGTGCACAAACCAGCGCGCTCCAAGGGAAATATTAAGTGTAGTTTCAGGAAGAAAAGCAATGCACCTTGTGCACCTGCAGGTGAAAGGAGAGAYTGATGAAGTCTTCTTCCACTTGACCTTGTGAGGAGACTGGGATATAATTATGAGGAATGGGAGCAGGATGAAGGATAAGCRCGAGCAGCAGTGGGAAAAGCCACGTAATGAACGACAGAAGCAGAGGCACCGTTCCCTGCGGGAGGACACCATCAGCAGGAAACCCCGACTCCTCCGTTCATGGAGACAGATCCCGATCCAAATGACTCAGATACAAAGGCCTCAAGTTCACCCCTCGCGCAGACACCTCCTCCTTCCTTGGTCTCTCTTTTCAGTTCCTTTTTTATCATATGTAAGGCTGTCCAGAAAAAGGCATACACTCCAGAGGGCTTCCGAAASGGGCCTTTCCCAACAGCAAAGTTATCTCAGTTTTGACTTTTTTTTTTTTGTTTCCTCAGAGTGGAGGGCTGGAACAAACTGCGGCCAAAGATTTACACCAAAAATCTACACCAATTATGTTCTTCCTGTTTTCTCCTTGCAATTGAAATACTTGGTTGAAAACTGAGGTTCTTCCATGGTAGAATCAAAGTGAGAGATTTCTGTAAAAAAAAATTAAAAAGAAAATAAAAAGAGAGAGAATCTGCATAAACATGATGATAGTGCAGATTACTGAAAAGCTTTTTTGGCTGCAAATCCCTCTCGCACTAAAAAGAGGTTATCTGTCCTTGATAGTTAGGGGTGGGGGAGAGGGAAAAGTTTGTTTCTTTCTCATACTCAACTGTTGGTACCTTGTTTAAAAAATGAAAAAGAATGAAGAGAAAACAGACAGTATAATAGGTAGGAAAGGTAAAAGAAGCAGGGAAAATGGAGAGAAAAAGAAGAAAACATATATATATACGTGTGTGTGTGTATACACAATTTTYCAGTCGCATGTATTAGCTGCTTATAGCTATTCAACCAATACTACCACAGCACAGCTACACCAGAGGTTTTTTTTAATGTTTCATTTCCTTTGTCATATTYCTCTCRGGCTTCAGATGTGGAGACATTATGGATTTCTGTGTAAGGCAGCAGCACAGTCTGATCACTACTTTTTCCTGAAAACTCTATAAGCCTGTTCYGTGCAACTCTCATTCCCTTTGTTAACTATGCTTTAGGTCAGGATCTACTCACAAGCACTGTAAAAGACAAGTGAGTTTTTCTGGAGACCTTATTTTTGTTTAAAATGAGTGGTTAATTCCACTTGCTAGATTTTGGTTTTGTATGAAAATAATAACTGAAAGTAGTTTGACCATGGGATTTCTTGTAACAATTTGCAAGACAGATTTAGTTTCTGGTATATTCAGATTATATTTTGATGTTAGCTAAAAGACAGAGGAATGAATCGGTGAAGCAGGAGATCTGCAAATTTGTTTCTTCCATTTTTTTTCCAGGATTACAAGTTACCATGAACACACTTAAGAAAATACCTAATGATTCATTACTTAAGCATATCTGATTTACATATATTATTAACTGGGATCTTCTTTAGTAACTGTTTCAAGTTACAAATGCAAACATAAGAAGGTAGCATGTAGAAATGGATTTGTGAGTAGAAATTGCAGAGAAAATTATCTTTTTTTTTTGTTCATTCTTCATCTTAGGACTGAGAAGCAAAACCAAGTTTTAGTATTAGTCTTTTTTTAGGATTCCTACTTCTACATTAGAGCAGGGGAGGTGCCACAAATGCAGCCTCAGTATTTAAGTTTCTCCCCCCACCTTTTATCCATATCTGGGAAACCTGCTCAGGCTTCTTTCCTGCTTGGTTTGCAGTTGCATTGACACAGTTGTCTCTCATCTTCTGCATCAGATATAAGCTAGAAGTTTTCAGCATGACACTTTTCTGAGGCTTGATTTCACGCTTCCCATCGCTTCTCACTCACTATGGGTGACAGCTCCAGTCTCTGATTTGACATGGGTGCCAGTCTCTTGCACTCATTTTCCAGTGAGCCCTTTTCTGCTGCTGAACGAGCCTGGAAAATCCCCTTTCATGGACAACAGGAACATCTGAAGATGCTGCTGGGCCTGAGCAGAGCTCTTGCTCAAGCACAGAGGTCTTTGCAGTGCATGCAGAACAAGGCTCATCCGTTGGGTATGGCTGCATGCAGAGACCAAGCACAGCTTGATTTTCCATCCACTTTCACACAGCCCTTTTCAAACCAGCCATTTCATGCATCAAGTTCTTTGGTTGTTTCAGCTTTCAAAATAATTAGTTTTTACTAACATAAAATATTTATTTATTTAAACTAAGATCAATTTCCAAATGGCATTCCCTGCATTGCTAAGCCAATATTTGTCATAGTGCAAAAGAGGGCAATACAGCATAAGAAATTACTAGTGAAGATAGAAGACTGCTTCTTCTGGCATCAGAAGCTTAAATCTCTGGCTTAAACTCTGATGAACCTAAAGCTTGTTGTGGTTACATGTCATTCCCATAACGTGCTTTCTCTTCTCCATGTCCCAGCTACATCTTCCTGCTTATTTTCCTGTGTCCTGGTGTTTGCGTTGCTCTAGGAAAAAAACTCTTCCTCAGCTTGACAGTCAGACTGAAAACATTTTCAATGCCTTGCCGGGTTGGTCCTGCACTGGGTCAGAGAGCTGGTTTCCTCCACAGCTGCAGCAGCTCTGTATCCAAGGGGGAGAGACGGGAAGGAAAAGGATAGGCCAGGAAAGGAGGAGTGATAACACCCTCTACCAGGTTTGCTGTGAAGGGAATGTTCTCGCAGGGAGTTACTGCAAAATGCTGCCATGGTGGCTTTCACCTGGCGATAGCTCCTGCTGGCACAAAACCCCTTAAACTGCAAGCGTTTTCTTGGCTTCTTGCTCTCTATTTGTACAGTTTTGAGCACAGCAGAGTCCTGGTGGCAGGAGAACCTCTTGCCACTAAACTAACAGTGTTTTCACTGCTCTCAGTGTTTTTCAAAATCTCTCTCTTGCTTAATCTGAATAGAGCAGAACAAATACTGAAGTGCTGCCAATGCTGCAACWAGGAGCTCTCACAACACATTGAGATTAACCCTCACCTGTGTGGGTTTTCACAAAGAAACAAGAAAACGGTTCACTTTCTTACCTTGCATAGAAGCACCCTGCACAACCTCAAGRGAGAAGCATGACCATGTGGCTAACAAGACTAAGTTGCATTTGGCCAGTAATAGTTAGTTTATTCTCAAACCTAAACTGACTGGAATGATAGCATTAGCTTCATTTATTTCCTGTGKTTTAAAAAGCTTTGAGTAGGGATGTATCGGGTTTCTCTCTTTTTTTATTTTTTAATTCGCTTGAAAACTAACTTATAACAACATTTGTGAACATTCGTTCACCTGAATAATTTTATAGCCACTCTGGGATATCATTCCTGGTAAGCTTGATTTAATCAACATGCAGAAAATAATGATTTTGTGGTGAGGAAAGATGGCCCTGTCTTTSAATACCAGTGGTGCTATTGAAACCCCTCTTGAAACCTCCAAGAGATGTTTTCCACCTACATTTGTGTTTCTGGCATCGCAACAAGCATGAAAGTCTCACACCTGAGGGGACGATTCCATGGTGTGGCTTGACCTGATGGAGAAGATCCCAGTCACCAKTTCCTAAGGAATCCTGCACTTTCTTCCTCTCCCCGTTTTCAGCAGCACAGTCCCATCTGCTCCCTTCTCCCAGTTTCGACACTAGTTTGACCTTACAGAGGTTCTTGAAACTTGGTGAAATTCTGTTTTATTATTTACATGGTGCTCCTCAGAATTAGAGCTGGTAACGTAGTCARTGTTACTCTCCACAGTCAACAGATGAGGAAGATGGCACTGAGGTGATCCGAGTCACCCCAGAGCACCCCAGCAATCAAACCAGGAATAAAGTCTAGCTCTTAGCATCCCAGACCACTGCTTTGACTTTCCCAGGAAGGTGTTTTTAGATATTGAGGGGAAAAAAATATATGGTTTTGTTAATAAAATGCTGCCTCCTCTCTTCCCCAGACTGATGGTAGGGAGCAGGTGGTAGGGAGTAGGCAAAGAGAAGAGAAAAGCCTCAACCTTAATCTGAAGAAAAAGTTGGGTGATATTAGATCAATCTTAGAAATACTAACAACCGGTGGTCTAAAGATGTTTGGTCAAATATAATGCAAGAATGGCACATACTCAAAGGTATCATTTATTACCTTGTCCTTCATGCAGAATTTGCTATTTAAGATGGCCAATCATGAATGCTGAGATACAGTATCCAGGCAGCCAGTGCTAGTAGAAGTCATGACGTTCTCTTCTATCACTCCTCGAAATAGCTCTATTTCTGGAAGTGCTTCAGAAAAGCCTTGATTCTCTTGACAATTTTTATTTAGATCTTCAAGACCAATAGTGTTATCTAAAAAAAAAAAATATACAAACTGCAGCCAAAGACATCTGAAATCACTTGATAATCTCATTTCTATCATGTCAAAGTAGAAGATTTCTAGAACAAGCCAACAAGCCTTTATGTTACCAGAATGCTATTGATTTTACATCCTAAATGGCCTAAGAAATGAACTAATTTATTTTCGGCTATCTCTGACAATTTTATACATATATATCCCCATTTCTCTTCTTCCTTTCAGCCCTCAAGCAGCTGTCTTCAAATAAAGAGCCTCCTCTCCTCTTTATTAAGAGCCTCGTATCTCTTCCTCTTTCCTATTTCAGGCACAAAATCACGTCTGTTTCCAGGGAAAAACTAGTGGGTATTTTTAATACTCACTTGTGAAATTATATCAAACTAACATGGAAATCATGGAGCAAGACAGTCACATTAAAACTCACATAGGCAGAACTCCTGAGCTTCTCATAGACCTCAGCTATTTTTACCTCTTAAGAGCCTGATCTCTTGCTATGCTGACAGTCTTCAGTGACTGTTAAGTTAAATTAAGTTTAAGATGCTMAACTTCTCAGAAGAATAAAGTCTGAAGACACTTCCCCCCCCCCCCCATGATAATGCCATCCTGATATGGAACTAGGTAAGTCTGAGCTAAATATTTTATTAATTTGATAATGGAGAAAAAAACGAAGAAGATTTCAACCCATGAATCAAGAAATATAAAACAGTGTTTCATAGCAACTATAATTCTGCCATACTAGTCTATGTAACAACATATCATTTATATAACCTACTGCATTTGCCCAAAGAGGAGTATTATCACTCATTTGCAATGAAAAACTTAAGACACTTCAGCATGAACTATTTTCTCTTCCGAACAACAAATATTCTATATAGTCTTTTTTGTATCATAAAATACACTCACCAGCCAAGGTACTTCCACTCAGCAATCCAYTTGTTTTCTGTTTCTCCTAAAATAGATAAAAGCAGCCCAGAGAAAATATGTGACAACAAGAGATTTTGTTATTTTAGAGACAGAACAAGATTCACATTCTATTATGCAATTACAATATTTTAATACAGTTACGTGATTTTCATTACTGGATAGTACAAGCACTCCGAAAATAAATCAATCAATCATCAGGTATCTTCACAAAGCAATAGCATAGGGAAAAGTAGCAAAAAAAATGTCATCTGTGGGCAACAGTTTAACTGGACAAGGAGAATCAAGTCCCAGAAGCAAGCTGCCATTAGCAGAGGATAACATTTTCATGGGTGATTGGAGAAAACTGTAAGAAGGATTAAGTGGTAAATGATGGTAGGTTCTATTTAATGRGCATAGGCTAGGGCAGGACAAGTACCAGGAAGAAGGGGATTTTTTATCTGAATTAGATCATAGACATTTCTGAAGATCATCTTTCAAAATCTCAGTCCTACCCAGCCTGGACTGGCTCTGGTATTATTCAGAACAGTACAAAAAATATCCACTTCCTTATTATTAACTTCCTTATTGTTATTTAAAAACAAGGCAAAATTTACTAGCAAAAACATCATCTTGTTTCACAAGYTGAATGACTCCTCCTTACACGTAGACTGTTGGGAAGCCTTCCAAAATCCCCTAAAATTCGTACCTCCACAGAGGTCTTCCACAGTAAATAGATCATCTTTGAAATTTTCCAGTCAAGAGGTACTATATAATCATCTGGCAACAAGGATTCTGCAGAACAAAATATTTTTGCAATTGAGTATTCAAATCTCTTCACAGCCAAAATATGTATTTTTGCAGACTTAAATGCGTTCTTGCTTTTTAATAAGCACGTATTTAAATGAGCCAACAGCAGAGTSAGAACTCAGCTTCTATAGAATCCAAGGTCAATGTGTAAGGGGGGGAGGAGCAAAAAAGAGTGGGTTGRGGTTTCGTTTTTAGAAAAACACTTTCCTGCAGTACTTTCATTTCCTCCACCTCTCCCTATAACTACGCCGAACAAGAAGAACAGAAAGCTTTCGGTCTGCAGATTAAAATTTCAAGTTTGTTGCTTACGTTACATTGGCTTTTAAAATTGTTTAAAATATGCAACGATAAGAAAGCTTTGCAACATGTTTCATCAAGTTATGTTTTAAAGTGCTTTTAAAGTGCTTTTACTGTAATAACTCTTCACTGTTTAAGAAGAAGAGAATCATTACAGGAAAAGTCTGAAACGTATTTTGTGGTTTTATAAGAATCATAAGCGAACAAATCGACTAAATATTACCTTGATAATTATTCAAACCATAATTTATATTCCCTGCTCTTAATTCTACTGAAACTAATAGGATTTATGTGCTGAAGAGCTGGGCTGGCTCTTCTTCAGTCCTATCTATAATATTTAGTTCTTGAAACAGTATCTTAGTTTAAATTGCATATGTTAATAAAATGACCTGTTCAACCCGTTCAGAAAGTTTAGCTCCTTTYTTTAGTTTTGCACATAAGAAACAAAGGAATTCAGGGTTTACTATTTTCTGACCTTTCAGCCGCATTACATACAGCATAAAATACTACAGTGATTTCCACACAAATGTTTCTTGTTGCTGGTTACCATTATGTGTAGTTATGATAGCTTGTATTAATTTGGAAATCACAGTTGTGATTTCCACACACAAATCCTTTCATGGCTGACTGTAATACTTACAACTACGCAATTAAAATGATTAAATTGAAAATACAAGTGACAATTAGAGCTCTGGAATGATAGGATACACACCTCTGATGCTTCTTAAACATGCATGACTAAAATAATATATTCAGCATCAGAAAATGACTTTTTCAAGTTTGATTTTCAATCTAAATTAGACTGTGGGATGTGTTTTCAATGCATCCAGCCACACAATGGTCTATGAGAACTCTTCTACGTAAAAGAATGGTACTGTTCCAACAGGGTGAAATATAAAAGCAAGTGTATAAATGTGACATAAGAGGAAAGACTTTGTATCACGTTTTCATGTAATATTGTAATCAGCTCATTAAAACCTTACTCAACATGATGTATTTATGCAATGTATCTAAAAGAGCTTCAAGTTTTGGATTTAAAGTTACCAAGCCATCACTACTAAAGACACCACAAAAATGAGGCCAAACTAGACACCTTCTTAGCTGTAATGACAATGACATCTTGGACTGAAATTGAAGGGTTTGGACAAATTCGCCAAGTAGCTGTTCCTTACAGTAAATTTGACTATTACCTGCAATGAAAATGAATGGTTAATCACAGGGGTGTCTACACTGAATTAGTAAGAAGAGTTTTACCCAGTGGGAGGCCTGGAGAACCAAAGAGCTGCACAAGCTGAAAAGCAAATCCTAAAGATAGGGGAAGTCCAAGAAAATTAGGTTTCATGTTCACATCTTGCTTATCTTTGACCTGTGAAGCCTCCAATGACTCCAGGCCATCTGCTCTGTGCATATTTTCACTACAGGTTTCCAATATATCAAAACCTTCTGGATTTTCAGAAACCACTTTATCAGAAGACAAAATATTGGGTTTGCTATTTGTAATCTCTGAAGAGTCTTGTTCATTGTCAATCTCTTTCTCATCAACTACAGGTTGCTTATGAGTTCCTTCCTTTTGTTGGGAAATAACACCAGCACACGGCATCAGAGAAAAATCAGATTGTCCCAAATGGCTTGCATGGCATGAAACTTCACTGAACGGAGAACTGGTATCACGGGTGGGTGAGSAGAAGGCTGCCTCACCACCACTGTAAAGTGCAGAATATCCCTGAGTAGGAAGGTTCTCGCTATGCGCCTTGTTACTGTCTTGGTTCAGAATTCTCTTTTGCTCCATTTCTGAAGTGCTTTTGGAGGAGAGGTCATCTCTTAACAGGACTGCTGTCCTTCCCTCTGTATTGGCAGCAAACTGTCGTGGTAGATTAAATTTTGGTGCCAAATTGAAAATTCTTTTGCATCTTTTCTTCTTGGTTGCAGCTGGTGCAGGGCTGTTTGCTGGCGGGTTTACTTGGCACGGTGTGGAATCCAGGGACACCGTCACAAGTGGATCAACACGTATTTCACCTAAAAAAGAGGTGCATGCACCGCTGCTTATCACATTACCAGGCTCCTCAGTTGCCATCACCTTCACCAATGACTGGTTTTCCTTTTCCAGTTCTTTATAAGATTGACAGCAACTTAGCTCTGCTGAGCTGTTAGTAAGAGTCGGTTTAAGCTTCCTCACTTTTTCTTGTCTTTGGTCACCTGCAAAGTTATCCTCAGACCATGAAGAGAGAGAAACTTGCTTATCAAAGTCCAGCTGCAATTGCTCAATAGGTRAATTATTTGGAAAACATGCCCAGTCATTAGAGCAATTCTCCTCTCCTTTTAACGCATATTTCCCCTCTGTGTTACCATCAGACACATTATTGGATACTTCTGAATTATAACACTGAGAAATTTCATCTTCTTCACCATTCAAACTCAAAAATTTATCTTCCATGCCAGGTTCGCATATAAATTGATCTGAGCTACGGTTGCTTTTTAGGCCTAACAACACTGTGCTATGATCAGCACAGCTGCATTCTACTTCTTGGATTGAAGATTTATCATMATTTATTTGGGGGAAATTGCTCTTGCTTTCTAGAATGCTTTGGTCCTGCCCTTGGTCTGTATCTTGACTATCAAACGCATATTTGGTTAGGTTTTCATTAGAAACAGGCTTTAAATTTGATAGAAATGAACTGCCACTTCCTACAGACGATTCATTTTTCAATGCACTGTCCAACACAGTTGACACTTCAGACGCAGKAACTGGAGACCATTCTCTGGAAAAGGCTGTGGCTTCTAGGCTTTTGTTATCACCATTAGGCTTCTCTTCACAGCACACTATCGGGCCCGCTGCATCTTCACTAAATGTACATGAAGATTTCCTGTTTTCTTCTTCTTCTTCTTCTTCAGAGTCATCGTCTTCACTTTCTGATGTTTCCTGGTCATCTGCAATTAGATGATGAGCTGYTCCACCCATCTTTTTCTTTGTAATTTCTGTGTGATTGCTTTTTATTTTTTTGTTTCTTTTTCGCTTTTTTCTCTGCTTCACTTTTGTGAATTGGCATCCTGGGCTCTTCTTCAAAATTCTCTCCCTATGTAAAGAACAAGAGAACTAAATGTGGAAGAAAATACATTGTAATAATCTATCTATGAGGTACTCAATCTGAAGAATAAGTATTTTACATTAACATCATTATCAAATACACATCAGCTCTATTGTATCAGCTGTAAACTGATAAAACCTAAATTTAGAAATTAAACATAAATGCACACTTTACTACTCATATAATTTTGAACACTTTAAACCTGCTTTAGGTATACCTGCAGTCTCATCAACTTTAGATCCAATTAAGTAGTTCCAATTTTGCAAAAAAAGTATCAAAAATCATTTTAAGACTAACCAACATGTTTGAAGATGTCTAAGTTATGCTTGAATGATAAATACCAAGTATTAATGTTAAAGAGGTATTGCTATTCTGAAATTTCACGCAATATCATGCAACTTAGTTGTAGGCTCTTTTTTTTCCTGGTTTGTGTTTCTTATCAAACTCAACAGGTGGCCTTCAATCCTGAAATGAATATGAGTAAGGAAAACTTTGTCCAGAAAACTAACTTCTCCTGAAACCACTCTTCAAAGAGAAACTGGCTTTTCAAAGTTACGCTAGATGGATGTATCTCCAGATCTATCTGTTGTTCTTATGATTATTTTTTGTTTAGGATTCAATGACTTTTTGTTTAGCTAAAACACTAAATAAACAGACACTAAAACATGTAAGAACAGCAAAAAGAATCACAGTGTGAAGTTATTTTTCTTCTTGTGCATTCTTACTTAGCACAGACTGTTGTAAGGATGATATTGTGAATCTTAAGAGAATAATAAAAAAAGGTATGTGCATCTGTGAAGCAAATGTCAATGCCATCTATAGGACCTRTAATAAGTATATATTATATGTAGCTTTTACAGAAATAATTTTGAATTTGAAGCCTATAAAGCAAACTCTACCAAATTCTCCGAGTTGGAAACAGTTCAGCAGCCTTCTAGGCTTCAGTATAGCCACCAAGTCCCTAGCTGGAAGTGGATTCGAAAGTCCTTGTTCCTTGATATTGCTACAAGAAGTACTGTGGATTTCATATAAAAATGTAAAATGATACATTTTACATAAGTATATAAAATTTATATCCATATAAGATTATATTTAATTTCTTTCTGCRTTCACCTAAACTTCTTCAAATGAGTTTGCCCTATTGTAAAACCACATGGCACCCAAAAGTGGAAAAACAAGAACCAGCATGGAGATAGGCTTGCTTCTTTAAAATGGCATTTGTTAGTTGTTTGCTTTYAAGACATGCTACATACACAAAGGAAATGTATGAGGTTATTAACTTGAAAATAAACACATATAAAAAGTCTGAGCCTTATACTTTTAAAAGTGCCTTTCATCATTATTGGGTTCCCTGAAGACTGGTTCATTGCTGCTAGAAAAAAAAAAAGAAAAAAAAAATATATATATATATTTTCTCTCTTCTTAACGACCCAGACATTACCCATGCATTTCCACCACCTGTTTCCTGTTGCTTCTTGCACCAACCTATCTCCTTGGGGGTRGATTTTAGTGCTGCTCTAATTTTTAGGTAAATTCTAAAGCAGAATTTATGCCATTCTATGTGATGTATCAATGCTTCAAGCTGATGCACTGCTATAGTGCAGGTATGAAAGGTTGATAGAGAGAGGATACACAGAGAATACCATATAATTAGCTTAACCAAAACATATCTTTAGAAGCTATTCATGTAGTCAAATCCGCACCAAAGTATAATCATCTTCAAAGAAGAAAAAAAAAAAAATAGAAGAGCCTGAGGTGATAGTCTTAAAAATCCAGTTTTCAAATGCTGGTCCATTCACTCCCCCAAAACTTCTTTACAGGCTGATGTGACTAATGGAGAATGAGATCTTTGTCCTGCCTGGCCAATGAAAGCCAGAAATGTCTTCTGAGTAAAAAGGCAAAATTTCCAATTTCATCTCTTTTGTCATGGAATATGGAATACATTGATCAACATTAAAAAAAAAAACCAAAAAAAACCCACCCCCAAAACTCATAAAGTTCCACCCTAAAGATACTGATTCTAGCTTCTGCCCAGCATCAAACCTCTACTTCCTGAACAAGTTAAACTAGCCCAAAGCTGCTTTCAACCTCATTTAGGTGCCACAACTGCATCTCACCTCATGCAGTTCAAAACACCAATGAGGACATAAATCAGAATCACAATACACATAGTGATAGATGTCRAGGAACATTTGCACTTTTACTGGACTTCTCTACAACATTAGGTATGACTAAATGTTAAAAAGCATGTCAAAAATAAAACAAAAACTACGCAAAAATGCTACAAGTGATTGTACCCAATTTACAATACAGAGATAAGAAATTGCCTTTCTACCCTCCATGTTCTTATTCATGAAGGATTTAAAGGATTAATTTTCACTTAAGTCCTTTCAATCAATGTTTAGTGGAAGAAAACACTATGGACTTCAATGCCAATGTATGCACTGGACTGGAAGTACAACATGAATCATGCTTTAATGTGTGATAATGGCAATTCTATTCCTTGGGTAACGTGAACACAAGGATGTGGATGAACACAATCAGGTTGAAATTAAGCCAGGCTAGACAAGAAATACGCTGCCTCAAAAAGTTGTTTGGAGACGTATGAGCTATGGTCGAATTTGCACTGGCTACWGAACTCGAGTGTGATCTGCTGAGTAGCAGTGCTCCTTACTTTTCTATTGATATGAAGGTATTTCTATATGCAATTTTAAGCAATACTTCCTAGTAGGCTTGAAAAATCCCATCTTCCCAGACAAGACGAACCTCAGGTTTCATCATCCTCTGGACAGGCTACATCGCCGAGACTTATCTGGATATTAAACTGACAGGTCTCACTAACTGCTAAGCACCTTTCTCTCTGCTGCCCCGAAGTGTTTTGCACCACCCAAGCTAACAAGCTGCTGGTCTCCTGGTTCCACACAAGTAGCTGCTTAACAACCCCTTCAAAACTGTGAGGAAAAAAGACAGAACACACACATCTATAATGAAAGACCTTTACAGCAACAAATGTGCATCCCGAATTTAAAAAAAAAAAAAAGTTGCTCTTCTGGATTTACCATATTGAATAATGTATATGAAGGCTAAATAACTCAAATACAAGACAGTATTGAATATGCATGGCCCCTTGACTTCAGACAAGATTTTTTTTTTTTTTTTTTTTAAAAAGAAAATCTGTGAGCAACCTCACAAACCATCTTAAAGCATCTTTCTCTTAGGATCTGCTTTTCAGGGATGCTGCATTTCAGGTGCGTGCTTATGCAGTTCAGCTCCAAAGATACCCAAAGGGTCTCATGAGGCTCTCTYAGAATCACAGAATCATTAAGAYTGGAAGGTACCCGTGGAGATTATCTAGTCCAACCCCCCGCACATGCAGKGTCACCTAGAGCATGTGGCACAGGGCRGCATCCAAGTGGATTTTGAAGATCTCCAGAGAAGGAGCCTCCACAGCCTCTCTTGGCAACCTCTGSGACACATTGTTTTCTTTCCTTCCAGTTGTAATTTCCTATGTTGCAACTTTTGTTCATTGCTCATCTTGTTGTCTCCAAGAACAGAATGGCTCCTTCAATACATTTTCTCATTGGGTAGAAGAAGACAGCAAGAAGCTGTCTTGGACTTAGCAGCATCCCCTTCCTACAGCTGAACAAACCCAGCCRCCCTTGCGCACCACGTGCCGCAGGCCCAGTCGCTTCGGCAGCCCTTGGTTCAGCTCACTCCTYGTGTCACATCTTACTAATACCAAGGAGCCCGAAGTTGGCCGTTTTCAGCTGGGACACTAAAGGTTCGTCAAGCACAGGTGCACTAATTTAGTCTCCCTTGGAAYTTGGAAAACCTTGGAATACTTAGAAAGTTAATGTCAGGTCAAAAGGACAAACAGRATGACCCATATAACCAAAAGGGAAGTCAGTCTGGTATCCATTTGCGGGACAATAAAAGAAAAATGGATGCTGAATTCAATCAGCAGCTCAAAGGAAAAAAAAAACCCTACTGCCATCCAAAAGGATGCCAATCCAACTGGAAAGCCAGGCCAAACCCCTCGGCAGACACAGTCTGTGGCTTGGCACAGCACAGCTTCAGCAGCCTTACGCAGCACCAGCAAGGCGCACATTAAATAGCCATGGTCCTACCTGAGAAACGAGGACAGCACTATCAAATAAAAGGAAGCTGCAAAGATCCATTTCAGGCCCASTACTTCTCAATACTTTTATTATGATTGAGCCATAACGACACTGTCACAGTCCTACTAAAGAAAAAACGTCATTTGCTGCTTCTCCCCTACTACAGGAACCGATTAAAAAGACCTGAAGTGACCCGACCTTGACAACTTATGAGCCTCGTCTCCTAAATACTTAAAAGAGCAGCCAGTTATTTCTTCACACATTTTTTTTCTGGGAGCTGAAAATAATGCAACTTACAATAAATTTCTTCCATTTAGCTTTATGAAAAGAAAAACAGAATTGGCGTACAAGTAGTTTCTCACCTAAAAAGTGATTACTAAGGAGCTTTAGTCKAACAAAAAGTCATGTTCATACTGCACTTTTATTTCAAAAGGATGAGAAGATACTAAAATGAAAAAGTTAATATGGAAGTATTAAAGCAAAAAGGTAAAATATTTCCATATATCTAATATTTATCTGAACACTCARACTGAATATTAATTCTGAATTTAACAAACTGCTGCTTCAACACTACACGTCCTTTTACTGCTTATTACGGGGAGCTGTAATACTGGGGTATACCAGATAACCAGGGTGGGACATATGCAGGTATCTACCATTTACATTCATATCACATTAAGATTCAATGGAATAAAATTCTGACACTTAATTCATGAAATTCTATGAA